TTATTGCACTAATGACATCAGAAAATATATGTTAATAAAAAGGAAGTTTAATATTATGGATTATTTGTATATCGCTGTTGTCAGAAGAAAACCTCGTATCTCCAAAATGACAACTCTATAGGAAATTGAAAAACCCTACTTTACTTTTAACGTAAGTCAATCGAGCCAGACTTTTTTCCAAGTCATTTTAGGCCATTTCAGTTGGTTTATTCAGACCACACATTGACATTACACACAAAGAAAAGGGCAACAGCCTTTTTCAAACCATGCAAAAAAACTGAAAAACGACAGAAATGGGGATGCAAGTTTTTCTTCCAACAACAGTGATATACTTTTTCAGTTTACTAACAGCATGGAACCATTTTTCAATTACATTGTTTCCTTTTAAAAATTTGCAACCTGCTCTTGTGGGAGAGTCTGCTTCCACCCCTTCAATCAACATGACCTAGCATGACCTAGCCTTTTTTTTTTTTTAAATTCCACAGGTGACTTTAGGCAGCACCTAAAGGTGCTATTAAAAATGTATTAATGACTAGTAAATAATGAAGAACCATAACATCCAATATATGACCTTTAGAATTCAATCAGTCTTCTGAATAAACTCTCTTTTTTTTCTTATACTCTAAAACAGGTGAGTCACTATGCAATCTGCACATGTTTGAGTGATAAGCGTCACTATATTACCTTTGTCGGGGTCATCCCGAGTGACTACCATCAAGCATGTTGTCTGGACATGGATTGATGAAAGCTGCATGCTGCAAACCTATCAATTTTGTTTGATTGTGAGTGACATAATAAAATATCTCTGTGCCTCTACAACTCCCTTGGCCATACTCCATCCTCATTCATCACCAGGGTACTACATACTTGCGCTGTCACAGCAAGGAGGGCCTGGGTTCGATTCCCCGGCCAGGTGAGCAGGGTCCTTTCTGTATGCAGTTTGCATGTTCTCCCTGTGTCTGCATGGGTTTTCTCCCACAGTCCAAAGACATGCAGACAGGTCAGTTGGACACTGGATTGCCCCTAGGTGTGAGTGTGTGTGTGGATGTATATGTCTGTCTGCCCTGCGATGGACTGGTGACCTGTGCAGGGTGTATCCTGTGTTCACCCAATGACTGCTGGGATAGGCTCCAGCTCCCTCCGCGACCCAGAAAGATAAGCAGCTTAGAATGTGTGTGTTCTTTACTAATTAATGAAAACATTTTTATTTGTAATGAAGAATTTCCCTGCCACAACACACTAATCCTATAGGATCTTTTCATAGTTATCTAAAAATTCTTTCCAGTTTGCTTTTTCCAAAAGAAAATTGATGGTTTAAATTGGTTTATATGATACATAATTCAAAAGTAGTCTTTCATTTTAAGAAAATATACATCATTGTTAGATGCTGGAAGTGCTAAATAACTGTGTCTCAGCAGCGATACGCCTGATCATGGTGAAATTTTGCATATGACATCTTTGAGAGAGATTAAAAATGATTTCCTAAAGATGACTCTACAAATCAAAATATATGGCTGCCATCAACCAAACAGCTTTCAGCAAGCTTTCGATAGCTTAACCCTGCCTTCACTAGCCAGTGTGACATCACAGAGCTGTGATGTCAGCATCAGTGAGTAGTCTTGCTCAAAAAAGACCCACAATCTCCATATTAGTGCTTTGTTTTAGTCTTAAGAATAGGAATGATTTACACGCCATTGCCTTCAGCGAACCTGCCTTCACAAGCAAGTTTGAATTCATTCAGCTGTGAAGAAACATCCATTTTCAAATTCACTGAAAAACCTGCTTTTAGGCCTCTGCCTTGGCCGTCAGATGGCAAAAAAAAAAAAAGAAATGTTTAAAAAGCAACACGATACATGCGTAACAAAAATCATAAGAACATAACCTTAGTGTTCAGTGTGATTCATGCAGCTGTAATAAAGAATCAGACAGTAATCCAGTTTGAATCCAGCAGTAATCCAATACTCTCCATAAGTTCATTTAAATCTGCTACAGTATGCTTCAATTTACTTAGGGCGGACAAATACAACTCATGAGCTCTTGTAATTTGTTATGAACAGTACTTATAATGCATCATGTTAACAATCATAATGCATAATAAGCATGGCAATAACGTGTAATGCATTATACATATATATATATAGTAACACTATAGTGTACTTTCTATGAATGTCACCTTTGTAAGCATCTATAAACACTTTCATAACATGTTATAATGCATTCATGAGACATTATAAACATAGCTATAAATATTTATAAAAATTCATTGTACATTATAGTCATGTTTATTATGCATTATGAATTGTTAACATAATACATTATAAGTACTGATCATAACAAATTATAAGAGCTAATAAGTCGTATTTGTCCGCTCTAAGTAAAGTGAATATACTGTATTCATACTGTACTAAAGCCTCCTCCAGTGTTAAGAGTACACCACCGTTAGCTTGGTATTTGTCTTTACTTTACACTTTCCAAGCTGGGACTGAGTTCTTTGGCACTGACAGTATAACATGTTATTAACACTATTTATAATGCATTATATTGACAATTCATAATGTATAATGACCATGACAAGTGTAATTCATTGTACTTCATTTTTATAAATATTTATAACCATGTTTATAATGCCTTATGAATACATTATAACATGTTATAAATGTGTCTATAGATGCTTACAAAGGTGACATTTATAGAAAGTGTTACCTAAATTTCCTTCAGCATGCGCTTGGTCTGGAGCTTCTGTTGTATCAAACAACCCTGATTTTCTCTGACTCTAATTTTAGTGTTAATATTTAGAAATGTGCAACTAAAAACAGTAAATAATGCCACAAATGCAGTCAGACTGGGCAACACTTTCTATGCATGTCACCTTTGTAAGCATCTATAAACACATTAATAATGCGTTATAATGTATTCATAAGGCATTACAAACATGGTTATAATACTTATATAAAAAGAATTACAATACATTACACTTTATAGCCTTGTTTATTATACATTATGAATTGTTCTTATGATGTACTATAAATAATGGTAATAACATGTTATAATGTCAGTGCCAAAGATGTCAGTCCCAGCTTGGAGAGCGTAAAGTAAAGACAAATACCAAGCTAACGGTTGTGTACATTGACTGTCCTACATTGGATAAAACACTGATGGCAGCACTAGTTTAAACTCTGACATTTGAAGCATGTAATGTGCTTTATTATGTATGTTTTGGTGTTTCAGTAAATTTCTGCAGTAAATACTTCAACTACAAGCCTCACTCTTAACACTGGAGGAGGCTTTAGTACAGTATGCTTCACTGTACTTAGAGTAGACAAATACGACTTATGAGCTCTTATAATTTGTTATGATAAGTACTTATAATGTATGATGTTAACAATTTATAATGCATAATAAACATGGGTGTAATGTATAATGAATTTTTATAAATATTTATAGCTATGTTTATAATGTCTTATGAATACATTATAACATGTTATGAATGTGTTTACAGATGCTTACAAAGGTGAAATTCATAGAATGTTTTACCTCAGACTGAAGCACATGAGAGACGTATGCTTTCTGTTAAGTGATTAGGAGAGTGGGTAAGCGGCAGAGTAACACACAAAGCAGTGTTTCAATAAAATAGGAACTGGGTCTGCTCCAATTCAATGTCTTTCAATGGAAATCGAAGAATATAAGCACTAGTAAATAAGTACAACTTGAACAAGGAGTAGAAGTGCACTCAATTTCAGTATCACTTGGTCACTGCGCACGCTGAACTTTGAATAGGGCCTACGATTGCTTACTTCAATAAACTACAATTAAAAACATCAGAGACAAACAAATGCAAGTTATGTACATAAGTGCCATTACTATTCAAGACATAAACACGCCTCCTGAGTCTAAAGTCACACCCACATTTCATCATGATAAGGTGGCTGTTCAAATACACGCACCCTGACAGTCAGAGGGCTGAGAACTAACGAGCAGACCATGCAGCTCACTTCAGTTTTCATGATGTGTGTATCAGTGCTGTGGATAACTGAGCTCAGACCAGCAGCATGTAAATCTGATCCGGTCAGCTGCAGACTATGGCCAGACCCTCAGATGCCTGGTCTTTATATGAATGGCGATTTTGTGATTGGGGGGAGTTTCGCCATTCATTTCTACACGAGATCAGAGCAGAACAGCTATACCAGACCGCCACTCCAGCTACAGTGCTCTGGGAGGTCTGTCTGTGAGTGTGAACAGTGCAGGGGGCATCACAGAGAAATTATAATAATCAGATTTCCATTTTTGGAGTCATTCGCTACTTATTGAGTTAGTGACTTGTAGAAGTACTTAGTGAAAAGAAATTTAATTTGTGTAAATGTTTTTTACATATCTTATTTTTCTAAACAGTATGAATTTCAGAGAGCTGCGCTTCGCTCGTGCCATGGAGTTCACCATCCACGAGATCAACAACAGAACAGATCTCCTGCCGGGAATCAAGTTAGGCTATCAGATATATGATTTGTGCTCTGAAGTGCCGATGGCTGTCAAAGTTGCATTTCAGTTTGCAAACGGCATGGAACCATTTTTCAATGATACTGATTCCTGTTCAAAATCTGCAGCTGCAGCTGTTCCTGCTGTCGTAGGAGATTCTACTTCCACCACCTCAATTAGCATGACCAGAATACTGGGTCGTTTTGGAATTCCGCAGGTGAGTTTAGGCTGCAGCAAAATTATTTCATTGTATGAAGTAATAATTGAATGACCATATTATATCCTATAAATGAGCTCTAGGATTAAAGCAGGCTTTTCAAATAACGTGATTTCTTTTCTGTACTGATCATCAGGTGAGTTACTTTGCAACCTGCGCATGTCTGAGCGATAAGCAACAGTTTCCTACCTTCTTCAGGACGATACCTAGTGATTTTCACCAAGCGGCCGCAGTAGCAAAAGTTGTTAAGTATTTTGGCTGGGCATGGATTGGGGCAGTGCGCAGCGACACAGACTATGGAAATTTTGGAATGGCGTCGTTTCTAAAGGCTGCGCAAGAGGAGGGCATCTGTGTGGAGTACTCCGAGGTTTACTACAGAACACAACCGCGCAGTAAACTGGAGAGACTGGCAAACGTCATCCGCAGATCAACAGCCCGAGTAATAGTTACGTTTCTTCACGAAGGCGATTTGAGGTTTCTGTTAGAGGAACTGACAAGACAGCCGCCGCCTCCTCTTCAGTGGATCGGCAACGACGCATGGATCATAGATCCAGAGTTTCTGCGCTTTAACATGTGCGCTGGGGCGATAGGATTTGGGGTCCCCCGCTCAGTGATTCCAGGTTTCCGCGAGTTTCTTCTGGATCTCTCTCCAGAACAAGCACTGAAATCGCCTCTGCTAACGGAGTTTTGGGAGAGCTCGTTCAACTGTACCCTAAAAGGCTCCTCAGATGGCGCGCGGGAATGTGACGGCAGCGAGGATATCCGCGCGCTGCAGAACCCATATACAGACACGTCGCAGCTTCGCGCAACGAACCAGGTGTACAAAGCTACGTATGCCATAGCGCATGCCATCCACGGTGTTATCTGTAATGACACTCAGTGTGACAAGAGCGCTAAATTCACACCATGGCAGGTATAAAACTACATTCTAAAACAGTCCGGTAAGTAGAATTATAATTGGAATCAGCATGATTTTATCTGACCAATTCTGTATGTATTAAGCCATTTATTGCAAGTGGGATATATGAGCTTCCATAACGGGAGCATTAGGCGTGGATTCTTATTGTGTTCTAATTTTAAAATCACTTATTGTGTCATAAATGTCACCGATGGCACAGCAATTTTACAATAAATGAAGGTCACAGTGTGGACAATGTTTTAGAAAACATAATCCGAAGTTCCAACATAGATTTCGATTATTCTACATATCTCAGAGTCACTGTTTCTTCCTCCAATATATTCCTACAATAAGTTAATTAAAAAGATGTTCCTTATTTGTCACAATGTTTCTTTTTCATGTTAATTAAAAACGTTGGGACAAGAATTATTATAAGAAATAATTTGACATATTTAGGGTAATGAGAACAGAATGTTCAAAATAGAAATTTGACATTAAGAATTACCATTTTGTCTTTTAACAAAAATAATACTTAAACGTCTGTGAAGCCACTACACCGACATACTTTCCTGACTGACAACATGAGGAAAATGGGTAAAGTAAACATTAAAGAGCTTAATATGTTTATAGAATAAAGAACATATTAAAAAAATACATCTCTTTTCTTTGGGTTACTTTTATTTTGAGCTCATTTTCATGGATTTAAACTTGTGAGTCACCAGTTGCAACCGCAATGATCATATTGCTCAAAACATTATAGAAATTGATTCACTATGTTAATTTAAATCAATAATATACTAATATTTTTTTTGCAATGCGTTTAACTAGTTGATCAGAGTTCAAAGCTCACAATCACAGTTCCGTTCACAGTTGATTAAATGCATGTGTTCCACTGCAGATACTCAACCAGCTCAAGAGAGTGAACTTCACTACGAAGAATGGCTATCAGGTCTCGTTCGATGCCAAAGGTGATCCTGTGGCTGGTTATGATCTCATAAACTGGCAGTTTAAGGAACATGGTGGTTTGGGTTTCACGACTGTGGGCCAATATGACCCTTCTAAACCAAGAGGCCAGGAGATCAGTATAAGCAGACCTATCAGCTGGGTGGGGGGACAGACCGAGGTACAGTACAACACTTCTAGACGTTTTGATCTTATCCCAGGTCTGTCAGCAGAACCTCAAAACAATTAAGACAGTCAGTTGTAATAATTGTCTAAACTCACTTTAAGAAGTTTTAAAAATACATCAGAGCAAGCTCATATTTGTGAAGTCAAGTTAAACCTTTTATGAGGTTTTAGGGTTTGTTAGTGGTGAAATATTTTTTTAGTTAATGGTGAAATATTTTTTATGAGGGTTAGGGTTTGTTAGTGGTGAAATATTTTTTAGTTAGTGGTGAAATATTTTTTTATGAGGGTTAGGGTTTGAAAGTGCTGAAATATTTATTTGTTTCTTTAAGTGGAAATAATGAAAACTCTACATTGGATTGAGTATCACTCAGAGCACTCAGAAATTCAGAAGAATACATGTTAATAAAATGAATGATGATAACATTTTGGCATGAAGATAACATAATGTAACCCCAAGTGAACATTTTTGATGAGTACCCACAAAAATTTGAAAAATATAAGCTAAAAAACAGGAACCAGCAAACTGTGCATTAATCAGTCATGGATAGTCCTTTTTACTTAAACCTTCAAATGCACATCTAGTTAATCAAACCAAAGCAATTACAAATAGTACAAAAAAAACAAAAAAAAAAAAATTGTTTACATGTGGTTGAATATCTAGAGAAATTCTTAAGTCAGTCCAATTAAAGGGTTTCAACACTGGGGTTAACAATACAGACCAATAATTGAAAGCCATCTATGCATATAAATTTGAAAGTCAGATCATAATTGTTTGACAAATAAAAAAAGATTTGCATTTTTCTAATGTCTTTCAGGTGCCAAGATCTGTGTGCAGTGAGAGCTGTCCTCCAGGAACCAGGAAGGCTGTGCAGAAAGGAAAGCCAGTCTGCTGCTATGACTGTATACCATGTGCAGAAGGAGAGATCAGCAACAAGACAGGTTGTGTATCACAATACAGTGGACAGTATTGCTGGGGACAGAACTAATGTATTTTAATTTTAAAAATTTAAAATCATTGTGGTTCTTTCTAAAATATGGTTCTAAATGTTTTTCTAATGTTTCAGACTCTTTGAACTGTGTGCGCTGCCCTCCTGAGTTCTGGCCCAACACTCAGCGAGACGAGTGCCTCCCCAAGCCTGTGGAGTTCCTGTCCTGGGACGACACTCTGAGCATCATCCTGACAGCATTCTCCATCTCTGGGGCCTTCATAGCTTTGTGTGTGACTGCTGTCTTCTACAAACACAGAGCTTCTCCCATCGTCCGAGCCAACAACTCAGAGCTGAGCTTCCTGCTGCTCTTCTCACTGACTCTGTGTTTCCTCTGCTCACTTACTTTCATTGGTCAGCCCTCTGAGTGGTCCTGTATGCTGCGCCACACAGTGTTTGGGATCACCTTCGTCCTCTGCATCTCCTGTGTTCTGGGGAAAACAATAGTGGTGTTAATGGCCTTCAGAGCTACACTTCCAGGCAGTAATGCCATGAAATGGTTTGGGCCTCCACAGCAGAGACTCAGTGTTCTCACCTTCACTCTCATACAGGTCCTAATTTGTGTTCTTTGGTTGACAATATCTCCTCCTCTCCCCTTCAAAAATCTAAAGCACTACAAGGAAAGGATAATACTGGAATGTGGATTAGGTTCAGCTATAGGATTCTGGGCTGTGCTGGGTTATATAGGATTTCTGGCTCTTTTGTGTTTTATTTTGGCTTTTCTAGCACGGAAGCTGCCTGATAACTTTAATGAAGCCAGGTTCATCACATTCAGCATGCTCATATTCTGTGCAGTTTGGATTACCTTTATCCCAGCTTATGTCAGCTCTCCTGGAAAGTTCACTGTAGCTGTAGAGATATTTGCCATTCTGGCCTCAAGCTTTGGCTTATTTACTTGCATTTTTGCTCCCAAGTGTTTCATAATCATGTTTAGGCCAGAGCAGAATACCAAGAAACACCTTATGGGTAAAGTTCCCTCTAATCCTCTTTGAGTCTCTCACACATATTTTTTTATGTAGCACTATGTTTTATCAGCTGATATATAATGTGTGTATATATGTGGGTGTGTGTCAATGTACATGTCTGTCTGTCTGTCTGCCCTGCGATGGACTCTTGACCTGTCCAGGCTGCATCCTACCTTACACCCAATGACTGCTGGGATAGGCTCCAGCTCCCCCCACGTCGCAGAAGGATAAGTGGGTTAGAAGGTTTTGGTGTGTTATGTTTTAATTATTGAAAACATTTTTATTTTTACGAAGAATTTCCCTGCAGAAAATTATTTTGAAATGATCCAAAATTAACAATTAATCATTTTGGATCATTTGATAATTATCTAACAATTCTTTCCAGTTTGCTTTTTCCAAAAGGAAAATAGATGGGCTCATATGATACACTAGTCGAAAGTTGTCTTTCATTTTAACCAAATGTACATCCTTGTTAGGTGCTGGAAGTGCTAAATAACTGTGTCTCAGCAGCGATACGCCTGATCATGGTGAAAGTTTGCATATGATATCTTTGAGACAGATTAAAAATGATTTCCTAAAGATCACTTGACATATCAAAACATATGGCTGCCATCAACCAATCTGCTTTCAGCAAGCTTTCAGATTGCTTAACCCAACCGTCACTAGCCAGTGTGACATCACAGAGCTGTGATGTCAGCATCAGTGAGTAATCCTGCTCAAAAAACACCCACAATCTCAATATTAGGTCTTTTCTCTTAAAAATAACAATGATTTGCACATCACTGCCCTCAGGAGACCCTTTCCTCACAAGCAAGATCAAATTCATCCAGCTGTGAAGAAACATCCAGCTTCATATTTACTGTAAAACCTGCTTTTAGGCCTCTGCCTTGGCCTTCAGATGGGAGCAACACATCACACAATCAAAAGAACATAACCTCAGTGTCCAGTGTGATTTCATGAAGCTGTGATAAAGAATCAGACAGTAGATTGGGTTGAATCCAGCAGTGATCCAATACTCCCCATAAGTCCATTTAAATCTGCTATGTAAATTACAGTAACACTTTCTATGAATGCCATATTTGTAAGCATCTATAAACACATTCATAACATGCTATAATGCATTCATAAGGCTTTATAAACAACCCTAAGGTTCATAAGGCATTCATGAGGCATTATAAAAAACCCTACCGTCCCTAGCTAGTGTGACATCACAGAGCTGTGATGCCAGCATCAGTGAGTAATCTTGTTTAAAAACACCCACATGCTTATTATGCATTATGAATAGTTACCATGATGCATTATAAGTACTGTTCATAACAAATTATAAGAGCTCATAAGTCATATTTTTCTGCTCTAAGTAAAGTTCAGCATAGTGTAATAAAGCCTCCTCCAGTGTTAAGAGTGAGGCTTCAAGTTGATTCATTTACTGAAGAATTTACTGAAACACTAAACCATACACAATAAAGCACAATACAGGCGTCAAATGTCAGATTTTAAACTACTGTTGCCATCAGTGTTGTATCTAATATGGGAAAGTTAATGTACACCACCGTTAGCTTGGCACTGACATAACACTGCATGTCCAATAGAATGCTAGCAGAAATGAGGATTACTGTACTGTAGTGTAGTGGTGCTACAGAGTGGAGGTTTCTAGTGCTTGATGTTAGAACCTGTGAGAGAACAAATTACAATGACAGCACTCTACTATCTTGGCTGCCCCTCTCCAGGCCGTCATAGTAACTTCACACTCACTGTGATGTGAGGGGCATTCAGGGGAAGGCCTGATGGGTACTTGTTTTGCTGTGATGTAATATCTAATGTGAGAGCGCTGGTTAAGGAAAGCGCATTGTAGCAATAATTCTAGGCTGGACAGCCTGTTTGGAGCATCTGAATATTCAAGACTGAAGCCCTGACGATGCAGCCCTAACAGTTCCAGCAGTGGTGAGAAATAAAATACTGGCCATCTCAGGGTGTAAATAAACTTTGTATTTGTCATTTCTTTACGCTGTCCAAGCTGGGACTCACTTCTTTGGGACTGACAGTATAACTTGTTATTAACAGTACTTATAATGCATTATATTAACAATTCATAATGTATAATAAACATGGCTATAAAGTGTAATTCATTGTACTTCATTTTTATAAATATTTAAACCATGTTTATAATGCCATATGAATGCATTATAACATGTTATAAATGTGTTTTTAGATGCTTACAAACGTGACATTCACAGAAAGTGTTACCTAACTTTCCTTCAGCATGTGCTTGGTCTGGAGCTTCTCGTTTCAAACAATCCTGATTTTCTCTGACTCTAATTTTAGTGCTAATATTTAGAAATGTGCAACTAAAAACAGCAAATAATGCCACAAATGCAGTCAGACTGGAGCACATGAGAGACGTATGCTTTCCGTTAAGTGATTAGGAGAGTGAGTAAGCGGCAGAGTAACACACAAAGCAGCGTTTCAATAAAATAGGAACTGAGTCTGCTCCAATTCAATGTCTTTCAATAAAAATCAAAGAAAGCAAGAACTAACAAATAAGTAAAAGTTGTATAAGGAGTAGAAGTGCGCTCAATTTCAGTATCACGTTGTCACTGCGCACGCTGAACTTTGAATAGGCCTTATGATTACTTACTTCAATAAACTACAATTAAAAACATCAGAGGCAAACAAATACAAGTCATGCCCATAATTGACATTAATATTCAAGACATAAACACACCTCCTGAGTCTAAAGTCACACCCACATTTCATCATAATGATAAGGTGGCTGTTCAAATACACTAACTCTGACAGTCAGAGGGCTGAGAACTAACGAGCAGACCATGCAGCTCACTTCAGTTTTCATGATGTGTGTATCAGTGCTGTGGATAACTGAGCGCAGACCAGCAGCATGTAAATCTGATCCGGTCAGCTGCAGACTATGGCCAGACCCTCAGATGCCTGGTCTTTATATGAATGGCGATTTTGTGATTGGGGGGAGTTTCGCCATTCATTACTACATGAGATCAGAGCAGAACACTTACACCAGACCGCCACTACAGCTACAGTGCTCTGGGAGGTCTGTCTGTGAGTGTGAACAGGGCAGGGGGCATCACAGAGAAATTATAATAATCAGATTTCCATTTTTTGGAGTCATTCGCTACTTATTGAGTTAGTGACGTGTGGACGTATTTGGTAAAAAGAAATTAATTTTGTGTCAATGTTTTTTTACAAATGTTATGTTTCTAAACAGTATGAATTTCAGAGAGCTGCGCTTGGCTCGTGCCATGGAGTTCACCATCCACGAGATCAACAACAGAACAGATCTCCTGCCAGGAATCACGTTAGGATACCAGATACACGACTCGTGCTCTGAAGTGCCGATGGCTGTTAAAGTTGCATTTCAGTTTGTAAACGGCATGGAACCATTTTACAATGATACTGATTCCTGTTCAAAATCTGCCTTCGCTGCTGTTCCTGCTCTCGTGGGAGAGACTGCTTCCACCACCTCAATTAGCATGACCAGAATACTGGGTCGTTTTGGAATTCCACAGGTGAGTTTAGGCTGCAACAAAATTATTTCATTGTATAAAGTAATAATTGAATGACCATATTATATGCTGTGAATGGACACTAGGATTAAAGCAGGCTTTTCAAATAACGCGATTTCTTTCCTGTTCTGTACTGACAGGTGAGTTACTACGCAAGCTGCGCATGTCTGAGCGATAAGCAACAGTTTCCTACCTTCTTCAGGACCATACCAAGTGACTTTCACCAAGCAGCCGCACTAGCAAAAGTTGTTAAGTATTTTGGCTGGACATGGATTGGGGCAGTGCGCAGCGACACAGACTATGGAAATTTTGGAATGGCGTCGTTTCTAAAGGCTGCGGAGGAGGAGGGCATCTGTGTGGAGTACTCCGAGTCCTACTACAGAACACAACCGCGCAGTAAACTGGAGAGACTGGCAAACATCATCCGCGGATCAACAGCCCGGGTAATAGTAACGTTTGCTCACGAAGGCGAATTAAGGTTTCTGTTGGAGGAACTGACAAGACAGCCGCCGCCTCCCCTTCAGTGGATCGGCAACGACGCGTGGATCATAGATCAAGAGTTTCTGCGCTTTAACATGTGCGCTGGGGCGATAGGATTTGGGGTCCCCCGCTCAGTGATTCCAGGTCTTCGTGAGTTTCTTCTGGATCTCTCTCCAGAACAAGCACTGAAATCACCTCTGCTGACGGAATTTTGGGAGAGCTCGTTCAGCTGTAGCCTGAAAGGCTCCTCAGAGGGCGCGCGGGAATGTGACGGCAGCGAGGATATCCGCGCGCTGCAGAACCCATATACAGACACGTCGCAGCTTCGCGCAACTAACCTGGTGTACAAAGCTACGTATGCCATAGCGCATGCCATCCACGGTGTTATCTGTAATGACAAGCAGTGTGACAAGAGCGCTAAATTCACACCATGGCAGGTATAAAACTACATTCTAAAACAGTCCCGTAAGTAGAATTATAATTGAAATGAGCATGATTTTATTTCACCAATTGTATATGTATTCAGTTCTTTATTGCAAGTGGGCTATATTAGCACTTCCTCCATCGCGAGAGGATTAGGCGTGGGTTCTTATTGTGTTCTAATTTTAAAGTCACTCATTGTGTCTTAAATGTCACCAATGGCAGAACATTTTTACGATAGACGAAGGTCACAGTGTGGACAATGTTTTAGAAAACATAATCTGAAATACCAAAATAGATTTCAATAACTCTACATATCTCAGAGTCACTGTTTCTTCCTCCAGTGTATTCCTACAAGACGTTATATAAAAAGACTTCCACGTTTTTTTTTTTGTTTTTTTTTGTGACAATGTTTCTTTTTCCTATTTATTAACTACGTTGGGACAAGAGTTGTCATGAGAAATAATTTTTACATATTTCGGGTAATGATGACAGTATTTTGACAATAGAAATTTACAATCAAGCATCAACATTTTGTCTTTTAACAAAGATAATGCTTAAGCATCAGTGATGCCGCTACTGAGACATACTTTC